AATATCTTGAACGTAAATCGACAGCTGATAACACTTTTGCGCCTTGTAGTTGGTCAAACATTTCTGCCGCAGTCGGTACTGGAACCGGTTTGTTTATAATCATAGTGTTTAATTGGCGGAAATCCACACAGAACCAAAGTTTGCCGTCAGGCTTCTGACCAGCAGCACGGGCGAGTTATAGGGATTTCCTCCTTCAACATTTGTTCAATCTGCAGCTTGACTTCGTCCCGCAAGTGTAGTGGGATTTGGTGTGAAACGTAGGCTCGAAAATGTCCTGCCTTTATTGGAATTTTGTGTTCGACCCAGGTACAAAACCAGTACGGGTCATTATCACCTGTGAATAAATGGGGGTGTTGTACCACTAGCTGACATGACGGGAACACATTGGGAACACATGTGTGCTGTTTCTACACTTATGGTTGACAACTTCTTTCCCTTCGAGCGCAACAGCGGGATCGTGCCGAATTCGGTAACGAGCCGTCCGTCATTCAGATCAACCACGGCTAATTAAATGCGCAACATATCTGCTCTCACTATAGTCTGGCTCCTGTCTTTTTATGTGCCAGCCAGATGCTTGATTATCATCAAGCATCCTACACGGACTTTCCGTTTTGCTACTTCATCCATCTTCAACTGGTATCCACCAACTGTTTTTACAGCTGTATTCCACGCGTCCAGGGACTAAGTTGATCGGTGTCTCGCCAAAGATACTGCCGCACCCGTATCGATCAAGCATAGTTCTCTCTAAATGGGCCTGGATTGCACCGCGATCTACTACTCTTGTGATAGCCTTGTCTTGGAGGACGGGCGTATTTTGCGTAAACCGTTTGTCGAGAGAACGTTTGCTGTATCCTCCTGCATTGAAAGCAAACAATCCTGTTCTTTCTTACTTCGTAGTTTGACTTCAGTGGCGCCACTTCTTCTGTCAGCTTTTTCAGAGATTCCGTAACATCCTCTGGCGGCTGTCTTTCTTGGAATTCGTGAGTCTGGAAAGCTGAAACTTCATGATCGGTTAATTACCTCACGACTTCAGCCAGCGGGAATACATCCATGACACACTCCGCTTGGAAAATTCACGNATTCACGCCTTTTACCGCAGATCGTCCGGCACTCTCCACGAAACGTCCTAGCAATAATCTCGAGCGAGCGGCCTCGTTCAAAGTTGGCAGCGCTCGATCCAACGGGGTGCGTAGGGTCGCGGCATGCGACAGGGGGTCCACGCTAACTCCGAGCTGCGCCATCTTGAAGCGCCGCAATGCCTATTGGCAGTCAACCAGGATGTCAAAACCAAAAATCAGGGTATTCTTCGCGGCAGCCCACTCTATCTTCTCGGA